CAGTTCGAGCAGTTGAAAAACGTGCCCAAAAATGTATTGAAGAACAAGGTGGTGTTTTCGAGCATCTTCTTTAAAAAAAATTGTTATTGTATTTTGTAAGATTATAAGTTGATGTTGAAAATAAAGTTTGTCGATACAATTTAATTGTTTCAGATTGGAGGCCATAACTTCAACAATTTGTAACCTAGGAGAAAAGTTATTGTAAGCTTTTTTGTTTAAAAGTTGATGCTTTAACAGAAAAAAATATAATATACAGGGGTTTCCATTTAAAAAAATGTTATTTTACTGAAAAAAATCAAAATAACGACTCTCAATTGTTTTTTTTTATTTCTCATTTTTACCAGCGTTAAAAATGCTACTAGTTTGCTAATTCAAACAACTTTGTATTTTCACTAATAACAAAGTTACTAATGGTGGACACTTAATTTGGATAACCCTGTATATGTATGTACTTTGAAGTACAAATCATACATAGTTTATGTATGTCGAATTTCGTAAATTAAATAACAATAGAGAGCTTACGTTTTATTATAAAATTAAGCATAAATACCCATACATATGTACCAAAATAATCAAGAATTATTAATCAAAATCATTAATGAATTTATCAAATTATGAAGCTTGGAAATATTCATCAATTTTTTTTTGTTTAAGGTTGTTATAACGCGAGAACAGAGCTTTGTCTCTCAGTCTTCTCAAAGGTAAAAGTTCGTTGTAGGATGTACCATTCTCTTCAGCCCACTGTAAACCAAGCTCATAGGCGTTAATGTGCTGTGACTTGTGGAGCAGTTGCAATCACGTCGTTGTTATTTTCCTGATTGTTTGTTGTATAATTAGAAACCTCTATTATAATATCTTCGTCAGACATTTCATGAAAAACATTTTCCTATTGATCCATTCCACGGCTCAAGATTTCCCAATCTTCCGGACTTATCTGTGTTTCAGTAGCGACTTGTTCTATAACTTCCGAAGTAACACTGATTTGTGGAACGTTGCTAGGAGTGGTGACTATATCTGGCCATAACTTTTTCCAAGACGATTTAATAGTTGATGACGGTAACGCATTCCACGACTGACAAAGAGCAAAAACCAAGTCTCTCATATTAAATTCTTTTAAAGTTTTTTCTATTGGTTAGTCTTTTGATACGGCTCTCAGAAGTAGGTTTTTCTTATAGTCTTGCTTGACAAACTGAATGATATTCTGGTCCATTGGTTGAATCAGTGTAGTGCAATTTGGCGGAAGAAACATCGCAGTGATGCATTTATCCTCAGTTGTTAATTCTTCTTCAGACGGATGACCGGGAGCGTTATCAAGAAGCACAACGCTTTTTGAGGAAAATTATGATCTTTTAACCATTTTCTAACTTCAGGTACACAGCATTTATCAAACCACTTTTTGAAAAGGTCTTTTGTCATCCATTCACTTTTTTGTCCGTAATAGTGTACAGGTAAATCAATGTTTTTGAATGCCCGTGGTTTATTATATTTCCCAATGACCATCATCTTAAGCGCGTGTGTGCCCGCAGCGTTAGCACATGGTAGTATGGTTACACGCTCTTTACTTACTTTTCGTCCAGGTACGGATTTTTCGTTACAAGAAACGAAAGTTTTGTTAGGCATCACACGCCAAAAAAGCCCTGATTCGTCTGCATTGTACACCTGTGACGGGTCAAGATTTAAAACGTTCACCTATTGCAAAAATCTTAATTTAAAGGGCTCTATGCAGGTGGCATCCTTAGAAAGTTTCTCTCCTGTAATAGTCATTAAACGTATGCAATGACGACTTTTAAATCGTTCTAGCCATCCTTTGCTGGCCCCAAATTCATCTTTTTTTGTTATTTCCTTATAAAAAAAACTTAGCTTTCATGGCCAACATGGCTCCTGAAATTGGTGCATGCCTATTTCTTTCCTGAAGAAACCACATGTACAAAGCTTCTTCCATTTCTGGATGTTCAGCTTTCTTGAGTGTCTGTCTTTTGCTTGGCCCGCAGTCAGTAGCTGACAGGAACTTCTTGATCTTCTCGTGGTTTCTTTTAATCATAAATCGGAGATCGACATACGCCGTATTCACTTGCTAAACTACTGAAAGTTTGATTGCGATTTAAGCAGTCTAAAATATCACATTTTTCTTTGATTGTCAATGTTTTGTGCTTTCACGTCTTAGCTTGTGATGACATTACTAGGTACTACACTTAATACACAATGAATAAATAGTAAACAATGAACGCACACTAGGCACACAAACAATGCTTACAAGTCGAGCACGATAGCGGTGGCGCGTACAACATGTAACCTTTTCAAACCTGTGTGATCTACATTAGCGAAGATTGTCAAATACGTATGTATGTAATACATATTCAAAGACATGTCGGAGTACAGGGGGCGCCGGATTAGACAGGGGTCGGATTATCGGGGGTCCACTGTATAATAATATGAAAAAATGAAAATTTGAATGTGCCTACATATCCTTCAAAGATGCAGTCACCACAAAGCTGAATCTTCTACCCACGCAGAATATACATTGAGGGCGCTTAATAAACAATTTGAATGGGGTGGTAGATTGACTACCTATGTCCTATCAAAATCGTTTCAAACGGAATAGCGATTATGTAGGTACACTTAGGTACGATGAATCTGCGACATCTGCATATTAAACTATATAATGCAAATCTATAATATTTCTACTTTCATGGCAGATGTAGGGAAAATATGTGTGACTTATTGTGACTAACAGGTCCATGGTATCACAGAGATCAGCAGCTTCTTAATAATAGGAGGTCTTTAACGCACGACCTACAATTTTCATCCCCTCCAAACAATTACCTGAAAATGAGCAGGAAACTGTGAAACGTCACACTATATTCCAGCGATTTTCTTTCCGCCGACTTCAAAATCTACGACTAAGTAAGCGATGGAAGTACTAAACTTGCGATAAATTTCGAACTTCGGTTCAGAAAACCGTATGTGTCGATATAAAAACAGTTAAGCAATCATTTACAAAAGCATGATATCCAAATATTGCTAAGATATATAAAATTTATGTATTTATTAATATTTCTCTTGTAGCGGTGTGTCAGTGACGGCACCACCGCAGATCAGATGGACGCATTACAGTCGGCAGTGATTTCCAACACGATGCAGCGTTGCGCCGTGTACGCAATGCCGATTGCCAAGTTATTTGGAACTATGAACACATACATCGGACCTTTCGGGATCAGAAGCTTCTTGATGATAGAACATCTTTGACTAATATTAAAGACGTTACATTTACAACCCGCTGCCCCTACAACCCCAACCCTCAAGTTTCAACCCCTACAACAAATTTCCTGAAAATGATCAGTACCCTCCAAAACGTTAAAAAGTAAAGTTTAGGCTACTACATAGCTCTTTAATCCTAAGCATAGTAGTGACCTTGTGTGAATATTGCCTTAAGATCATCAACCATATTAACGCAATTTTTAAATTTCTCGGCCTTACAATAGTTCCTCGTCAGTTTTGGCATAGGAAGTAAAAAGCAAAAGCTCATATTGTTTTTCGGGGTCGAAAATGGCATAATTCGCATTTTTTTCAAATATTAAATTGCTTATATCTCGAAGACTATCAACTTTAGAGAAGAGGTCATAAAAACCTTATTTGTTCAGAGTAACCCAAATAACTTAAAAAGCTTCAGAAAGAAAAAAGTATTTGAAATTTGTATAAAAATTATGTTTGAACAAACGAAGTAAGACGTCGTGTTGATTTCTTTAAACAATTTTTGATCCAATTCTAGGCCGGCAGCATGCAGATTCGTTAAAAGAGTTCATTTTCTCTGTACGATGTCTGATATCCTGTGAGGATTATTGGACGCACTTGTATTTAATTAAGTCAAAATGTTTCCAAACTTGCGCGAAGAACCCAATGCGTGCGACGTGTATCTGTAGACGCGAACCGTAATAGTATTCGTTTCCTAAACTATAAATAGAAATAAAGTATTCTCAACCACCTGCAGATCCAATTACGCTCCCAAAAATTCCATACTAATGAATATCCACAGATGTTGATTGTTACGTAGAATTATAAATAATATTAAAATCAATATCATAACACTATTGTATTAACACAAACGGTTAATAAAACATTATGAAACAATTCTCATAACTGTTAGTTTATTTATAAAAACTTTGCGCAATGTACATGTCGAGAGGAAATATATTAAATGCTGTCTGCTCCAATTTTCACGGAAAGCAAAACAGTCGCAGTTGACATAAAATCCTGGGTTTTCTACCACAATTTACAATGTTTGATTCTTGTAAATAGTGTTGTTATCGCACAATTTGATAAGACCTGATGTTATGTATAACAATATGCTATTGTTTCCCTAGGTATGCATTTTTATGCAACGTGTTAAACGATTACCTTATTATGCAGTTTTCAGCGGTTTTTTGCAGGAGGTATTCGACTGAAGCCTTTGATGTGGCACCGCAGCCCTTAAAACTTACTGACAATGGCTTTTTTGTATTTAACAGAACCCAATCCAGTATTCCTGAATTCGTTCTTAATTGCTCTCCCTGCTGGTACCTATTACATGGAAGTCCATGTATTGGTTCTACTTACGTTCATAACCTCCCTTAGCTTGTTGAAACAATTGTTTGATCATCACTGATTGACATATGTCTCCAAGATGACATTTTTGGTTTCAATAACAGCTAATATGCACTATTATAAATTCTCAATAAATTAAAAGATGCTGTATTTGCATTGTCAACGCAAAATGATATAATCATTGCATGGATACCACAAAGGCAAAACGTTGCTTATTGAAACTAAAACACATAATTATATTTTTCTCGAAGACTTTGAAATGAGATTAGGTCACAGTTTTTCAAATAGGTAATCGTTATTCAACTTTATTCCTAACGTTATCTATTTTACGCACTTCTTTATTTGACTTGTAGTTAAGCTGAATAGATGCATTAAAACGCTCGTCGCTTATCAAAATATTATGTTTATTTGTATTCCAGAAGATTCTATATTCATAAGATCACAATGCACAATTCACAATTACTGGAATATGATAAAAATCCGGAGTTAGCCAGATACATCTGTAATGCTACTGTGTTGTTGATTGCTAATTTGTAATTGCTGTAATAAATAATTGTTGGACTTAATGATATGCATGCTGTAATCGATAGAAATAGATGTCCATATGATATAAAGTTGAGTATGCATCTTCTGTATAATAATAATATTTATTCACTTAATGTATAAAGATAACAAACAATATGAATAAATAAATATAAAGTCAAAACAGGCCCAATAGAAGGCATCGCCTGTACATGGACCAATAATTTAAGTTGAAACTGTAGAATGCAAATGACAAAAAGGACAAAAATTAGCTACATAGCTAGATTATGTATTTAGTTGATGTTCGTATTTATGAGTTTATGAATTTCAGTCCTAGATATAGAATGTAGCCATTTTTTTAAATTTCTTTTGAAACAATTTCCGAAACGTAAATCTTTTAAGTCTTTAGGTATAATTTCAAAAAATTTAGGCGCTAAATAGAGATATGATGGCTGCATCATAGATTTATGCGGTTGAGGAACTACTGTGCCACGAATTTTGTACCTTGTATAATGATTATGTTTAATTTTTTGGTCGGTGTTTACAAATTTATGGTAGTGAGTGATACTGTGTAAGAAATAAAGCTGTCTTATATCATACATTCGAACATCTGCGTATAATTTTTCAGTGGGATAAAGTTTCAGTTTTTTAAATATCATTTTTAGAATACGTTTTTGAAAAACATCTAAATTATAGATATGTGAGGAACATGCAGCTCCCCATGCTAATATACCATATGTGAGATGAGGCTCAATCAGTGCATGGTATGTTCGAAGATATTTTTCTGTCAATATATTCCCAAGGTATTTAATTTTGTAGGATACAAATCTAACTTTCTTTAAAATATAATTGATATGGATGTCCCATCGTAAGTGAGGATCCAAGACCACTCCAAGGTATTTTATGTTGGGCACTCTATTAATTTGCATTTTTTGATCATTAATGTTGAAGGAGAAATTTGTGTAATTTGACAGATGTTTAGCATAAGATCCAAATGGTAAAAAATGGGTTTTAGAATAGTTAATGCTTAATTTTCTACTGTTAAACCAGCGAATAATTTTGATAAAATCATTTTCAATTACATTTTTCAGATCAGACCAGTCAGTGCCTTCATATAATATTGCAGTATCATCTGCAAAACTAGTTATTTTGCCAACACAATTAATTTGGAAAATATCATTTAAATATATATTGAATAACAGCGGACCTAAGACAGTTCCTTGTGGGACACCACACTTAATATACATTTCTTTACTAAATGATCCTGATATCTGCACAGATTGTGGGCTATTTGACAAATAATTTTCGATCAGTGAGTACGCGTTTCTTCTGAAACCAATTCTCTCCAATGCTTCTAATAATAATTTGTGATTAACTGTGTCGAAAGCTTTCTTTAAATCAACAAAAATGCAGATTGAAGGGATTCTGTTATCAATATTTTGATGTATTTGATTTACAATTTTAGTTATTGCGTCCGATATAGCCTTCCGTTCTGTAAATCCATATGGATTTTCACTTAAAATTTTGAATTTTGTGAGGTATCGAATCATTCTAGTAGATAAAACTTTTTCAAAAACCTTTGCTACACTGGATATTATTGATATTTGTCTATAGTTGTTAACATCTGTTTTTATTCCTGATTTATGTATCGGTATTATATTACCTTTTTTTAAAATTGAGGGATAGATGCCTGATTCAAAGCATTTGTTGATTAGGTAAGTGAGTGGTTCTGTTCTTGGCTATAATTTTCAAATGCTCGCTTTTAATACCATCGAAGCCAGGACTTTTTCGATTTTTTAAGGACATAACAGTGGTGTATACTTCACATTGTTCGACTTTATCCAAAATAAATGAATTCAAAGTTCTTTTTGGAGGCTGAGTATTTTGTACATTTGCTTGTATATTACTTGCTAAATTTTCGCCTATGTCAGTAAAGAATTGTACAAATTCATCGCATATCTGTTGAGTATTTTTTAATACTGTTCCCGATGTAGTATTTAACTCAGTGACATACTCTTTAAATTTTGTTTTCCCAGTAATCTCATCAATAGTTGTCCAAAGCCACTTAGGATCATTTAAGTTATTATTCAATTTATTTAGGTAATGTTTTCGTTTGGTTTGCCTTGCAAGCTCTATAAATTTATTTTTATATTGGTGGTAGCAGTCGGTATTCTCTGTAGTTGGCGTTAGTTTCATTACATTATATAGTCTTTCTTTTTCTATTGCCGATGTTATTAATCCTTTGGTAATCCAGGCATTTCTGCTTTTCTCTTTGTGACTAATTATTACTTTATTGGTACTAATATCTATTAGTTTTTTTATTTTCTCTATGAACAGTCCCGTTGCTTTGTGTATATTATTTATAGAGTATAATTGTTCCCAGGATTCTTGTTTGACATTTGATATTAGTTTTGAATTGTGGACAAAAAATTTGTAATTTTCCTGGTTGTTATTAACGGTAGGGATGTTAGAATGTTTTTCATTTGAAGATATCAGTAAAATAGTGGAGAAGTGGTCAGTAATATCGCTTTCTAGGATTATTGGTATACAAGTAATTTTGTTGGATAGGTCTTTTACAAAGCAGTGATCTATATATGTGCCACTGATGGACCTTGTAGGTAGGTTTATATAGGACAGAAATCTGTTACTTGATAGGATATTCAAGTATTCATTTGTGATGGGATCATCGTCCAAAATATTTATATTGATATCTCCCAAGAAAATATGTTGCTTTAAATGAACTTTATTTTGATTTTGAAAAAAAAATTCGATATTCTTTAAAAACTCGTGGGGTTCTGAACTTGGCGGACGATAAATTGCAGATACCTCAATTTTGTTATGGTTAATTTGGATCATTATGTTTAAAATTTTGATTCCATCATGATTATATTGCAGTTTATTTCTTACAAAAACTATCACCCCATCGTTTTGGTTATAAGTGCCAAAGTTATACAGCGTGTCATATCCCTGCTGATTGAAGCAAGAAATATCAATCACTTGCCACGTTTCAGTTAAAACTATTAGATCGAAATTGTACCATATTTGATAGAGTAGTATTTTTAAGTAATCATTGTTGTGTTTTATACTCCTTATGTTCATATTAAAAATTCGAAATTTTGCATCAGAATTTTGTGTACATAAATTAAGTTCATCGACGTTTTGTGCTATATTTGTTGTAATACTTGGAATTTGGAAATCATTAATGTATTTATTTACTGACATTTTTAGGTCCTCTTTAGAGATAGGAGTATCAAAAGATGAACTTGAATTTTAAAAAAGTATCCTTAAGTTTTGTTGTTCCTGATAATATTTGTACGATGGACAGTTTTTGTCGGTAGGTGAGTGGTTAATATTATTATGGTACTTCATCAGAGGAAGGCAACGTATTTACATATCCCGTGGCCATATCGTGAGATGAACCACTTCACGAAATGATCGATTATTTCCTGAAATGGACACATTTCATGAAAGGTATCATCTATTGGCCAGATCATGTCGTGCGTTGACCAGAACAATGATAACAAATCAGTTAACTATATGATTAGCTAAACGCCCGGCTACTTCGTGAAATGGTCAAGCATTTTTGATCAAATCGTGAAATAATTACATTGCTTACCGATAGAGGCGCTAAGAGCGCTTTGTTTAATAACAAAGTTCTTTTTCGAAGTGAAAATTCTAATAATTTGTTACTAAATGAGGAGAGAAAGTATACTCGAGTCACGCAAATATCAATCAGCACATAAAAAATGAGGAGTTCGGAAAGTGTTTCACAAGTTAGTATTTCACACTTAAATTAGATCGTTATTTACTTCTTTGAAGTGAAAATCGTGTGCCAGCTAAAATGCTGCACCACAAGAGGTGATAACTTAGTTTGCCATATTTGTTATCTTTAAAAATTTAATTTGTGATAAGTTGTTCAATTTTAAGGTTGTTCTAATATAATTAGTTTGTTTTAATTTCCTAAAGTTCCTAGTTTTAATAAAAATGTTAGTCGTATTAAAGATCAATAAACGAGGTCCTAACATACTCTCGATTTTGATTAAATATTTTATGGACGATATAGTAAATAGTGGACGATCAAATCGTAAACGTTGACGATTTAACGATATAGTCAAATCTAGTTGGCCATTTCATGGAATGCGATAATTTCATGAAATGATCAATTCTACGATATGACCAGAACATATATACACATATGCATTTTTGACAAGGCATAAAAAGGCTATTGGAAATTAGTTTAGTTTTCTTTGAAAAATCACAAGCAAACAAGAGGGCATAGTCTTTTGAAAAACTCATCTGCCTCCTGGACTACTAGACCTATTCCGCAATCATTAGCACGAAACAGTGCTGAAAACAAACATGTCCATTTCAACTGTGTCTGTTTATGCATATATGCATCGAAATCCATTGTCGGCTCTGTGAATACGTCGATCAGTTATGAGCCAGAGGCGTAGGGGTCATCCGTCATTTTCATCGTATGAGATGAGGATGACGGTGGTAGGTGGAGACCTTCTCACCTACTTTCGCACATATAAGGTGTTGTTGGATTTGTCACGGATGGCACTGGGTATATTAAAATTTCATTAGATCAAGAAAATTACTGCTTTACAATTTTTATTTCAAGGGCAGAGCTTGAACGGCTTGATAGACTTTGACGTATGCGGTGTATCTAGATTTTTCTTGAGAGTGCCACTAGTTATATTGCGGACATGTCCTTTGATTTTGATCTAAGTTTCCGCAAAACCACCTGTCTTTCACTGGAAGATTTCTATTACAGACCAGACGGCTTGATGAATTTTGACATTTTACTTGACCTTAGATTCGTGTTGTTAGCACAACTGAAATTTAACACAGTACTTGTTCATTGTTTTTGTTCGAAGGCATACAGTTTTTTGACTTCACTAATTGACATGTTTTTGATGGCAGATAACATCAAAAACGAGTTAAGTGCTTCCTGTCTTTAGGCCACTCCGGCTTAAAAACATTCAAACATCAGTTAGATAAAGATATCTTAGCCCAAAACCATTTTGGGTTCATATACATTTCCTAATTTTACGTCTTCCTTCCAGGTGCCATTAAAGGACCAGCATCTTTCATGTGACTTTGAACTTCACTAATCACCATGTCGAAGAAGCTGTCCTCGTTCATCATGAATAACCTCCTAACTATCCTCACCGTAATAGGTGTAGTGGGAGGAGCCGTAACGGGAATAATTATTCGATCCAGCACTCCTGGAAGCTGGACTAAGAGGGACGTCATGTACCTGGCATTCCCTGGAGAGCTGTTCCTCAGGATGTTGAAGGCTCTGATTATTCCACTTCTGATGTCGTCGGTGATACACGCCATCGGGTCGCTTGATCTCAGTTTATCTAAGAAGATTGCTATAAGGTATGTGCATATCCACACAGTAACATGTAGCAATAACATGGAAATCCTCGCCACAATAAATTCTGATAATTGCTGGACGCGGACAAATTACAGTGGTATAAAACTACACCCACTGAAAATTATATTATTTGAATGGAATTTTGTATACAGGTTGACATGAGCAAAATGAAATAATGGTTCGATTAAGTAAAAACATTTACTGAATCGCCGACGGCAGCAAATCAGTTTACATTCAGAGACAGAAGAACACTTTTTTCTGATATCTAATATTAACTAGCGCACGTTGAAGGAGGTGATCGAAATTTACAGTACTTTTTCCAAGGAAAACAAGTGGGAAACAGGCGGCCAAGAAGCAAGATACTTTTTCCAGATTGACAGATTATAGACCTGGAGATGATGCAGAGTTAAATATAGGGAAGTTGCTGTCTTTAAACGTCGCATCGTCACCTGAGTTAAAATAAAACGTTCACGATATATATTGACGTTAACTGAAAACTTCAACGACTTATTCTTCTGCATAGTTTATGATAAAGAAATTGCACTAAAATATATGAATCTTGAAAAAGTGTTTAAAATAAATTGAATATTTTCAATAGCGGTTGGGTAAACAAGAAAATATGCTTTTCGTTAATATTTATTTAGGTTTTCAGCACTTTATCATCTGTTAACTAATATTCCTTACTTTGTATAAAGCTGAATCCTGAAAATCGCATCTCTTCTAGGAGACATAAGAACACGTCTTAAAGATGTTTGTTTTATGTTGTGTCGGGATGTGCGTAAAATGTCGCACTAAAGTTATTTTAAGAAGATTGTTAGTGCATTCTCTAAGACTTTCTCTGCTATCTGGATTACTCCGCCGCGCCATTTGAATCGTTTCCGTCCAAAATTCACCATCCCAAGTTTCTGTACCAGTTTTATCTTAGGAACTGTCTTTGAGAAAGGCATCATGTAAAGCTTCCAGGTATGACCGCTTAACAGTATATCCAGAATATACTACAGAAATAAAATGGATCTCTTCATGCAAGAGCTCAAATTCATATGAAACTATGACACCGATTCGAGACCACAGGTACCTGAAATGAGGTAATTTCATTGTTACAGAGCAATATGTCTTACAATTAAGAAATTGATCTTAATCAAAATGAATATGCCTTAGAAAAGTCATGATTGAAGGTAGGCGCTCTTGAACCAAGAGCAATATTTCTTTTGTGTAGAACCTCATCTTTTACCATTTCCCCAAAGACTTGAGAACCTTATTTTCTGATGGATAGTAACCGTCACCATATTGCTAGAGCTACAGTGAGCTACCTCAATATCGTCAAATCAACTTTCTTCACTGGCCACTTACAGTATATTCAGATAAGAGATAGACCGGACATAAACAAGACCACGTGATCATCGAACGCTGTAACATTCGGCAGGGACGTATTAAGAGTCAGGCAGTACATATTTTAGATAGTAGATGCTGCTTTGCGTAACTTTGTAGTAAATTAGCACAATTCGATGTGTATACGATTGATGATGGATATAGGATCATGTGGGGGTGGGGTAAGAAATATATAATGATGTAAATATACATAAGGGTTTCAAAATTTTCTCGAATATAATCTCAAAATGGCGTTTAAATTAGCCTAAATTAAAAATAATCGTATATCTCTTAAAATTGCTTTTAGAATATTGATTAGTATATTTTTTGATTTCTAGGTAAATATGTAACCAAATTAAAATGTTCAAAACGTAAAAAAATGTGCATGGTTGAACATTGTCAGAAAGTAGATTCTTGAACAGGTTTTGCCAAAATGGGTTCAAAAATGTCAATAATTAATTAAAAAATACAGTAGCTTTATAATTACTTATAACTTACCGAATTTGATGAACGACATCGTTTATTGGAAAGATGAGCTTGATGAGCTTTCATCATCGCTACTGCCTGAAGCACCAACGTCAATAATGAATGGCTCGACTTGTTCCTCTAAAATATTGTCCAGTTCCCACATTCTCTTTTCAACTTTGTCTTTCACGTGCTTAATACAGTTTTCCCATTTTTGCGCTGTTATTAATTCTAGTGCTTCTTTGAAAAGTCCTTTGAGGTCACAAAATTTAAAAGTTGTATTGTGCTTAGCTATATAATTTTTAACCTCTGCCCATATGAGCTCAATGGGATTGAGCTCGCAATGGTATGGAGGTAAACGGAGAACAGTTTTATTTTGACTTGCTGCCATTTCGTCAATGGCGTATTTTTGATATTCCGCCTTGTGATCCTTGACAATTCTTAATAATTGTACTTTCAGCATTGCTTCTTCAAAGTTGATATTTTTCGAGCGGAGCCAATTTTGAACATCAACTTTCCTTGAAGCCGTTGTTGGGACCTTCTCCATTCTTCGAGAATGATAAGGCGCATTATCCAACACAATTACTGCGTTTTCCTCTAAGTTCGGTAAAAACCACTGTTCAAACGATTCGCCATTCATTTCCTCGTGGTAATCTGTTTCTTAGACTCAAAGCACCACAGTCCGTCAACAACAAATCCATCCTCACTGCCAATATGGCAGATAATGAGCCTTTTCCCTTTACCTGGAAATCGAAGTACTAACTGGTGTAGATTTATTTCAATAAGCGAACCTTTTTCAAATGTTTTCATCACATTCAGCGAAAAAACATTTAGACATGAGTATCAGATTGCTATAATTGGGATTATTTACTCATATTGAAAGAAAGAATATTGAACGTCGTATGATTACTCAGCGCTTCACAATTTAATTTAAAGTTATAAACCTTTAAAAAATGAATGATCAGGAACCTGAAATACGCGCAAATATTAATATTAACAAATTATAACTTTATAAAGCTTAAAGTATGAATTAAAATGATTAGAAATATTAGGAACGGTACACAATATAAAACTTAGTAACTTTTTTTAAGTTTATAATATTCGACATATTTTAAGATTATATTAAAAAATTATTGAAATATCGAAAACACATAAAAACATGGCTTAAAAAAGTTCTAACAAATGAAAATGACAATAAAACATCCACGCATTTTATCGAAAGTTATAAAAGTTTTGTTACTTGTAATATGTTTTATCTGCCCCCTGGAAATAATGTTTAGAACCTTGTTCCCAAGGTTTGAAAAACATCCGATTGTTGTCTATTACTCGTATTTACCTGCTGGATTTTTTAATCCGGTGGACAGTCCATCTAGAAAGGTAATAAATCTTCCTGTTTTGATTTCTATATTTCCCAATTTTTGTTAAATAATCCCTCCTCCATAGCACAATTTCTTCTCTATCCAGTAGTAAACTATTACGACCCCGTTTTTTCCATTTGAAATTTAAATGCTTCAGTAACGCATGGAAAGTTGATCGTTTGAAATTTGGCAACGTTGTATCTCCATTGACCTCCTGCAGTACTTTATCTATAGTAGGTATTTCATTCCTAAAGAAGAATTCATGCACTTTCCTCCTAATCGCATGCTTATCAGCTTCATCCAATGATTTAACAATACTTTTGCGATGTTTACTGGTCATTGGCTCAGAAAAGGTGTGATTTTTTTTGTATTGTCTTAACACATTAAACACTGATGCGCGACACACCCCAACTTTGTGAGAAACCTTCACAACAATTTCTTTGATGGTTGATGCCTCGTTCTCCTCGCGCTCGATCTTATATATATTCAAAATGACCTCTTTCATTTCTTTTTTTTTTTTTAAAACATGTAATTGGCATTGGAAGTTATCCATTTGCCACAGATGTGTGTTACTTATATTTCTCTAATTATGGACAAACACACGACGTCACAACATCCATGGCGAAGGCGAGATTCGAACTCGCGGCCGGTCGGCTGATCAGTAGCACGACACTCTGACCAACGCGGCCAACCGAGGCCCCATAACTTTTTCATTTCAGCACTCAGGTGTCTTTTTTTAGAGCGTTTCCTAGGTGGACTACATTAGTTTACAACTTCATCGGCAGTATCTGTACTACTGGGCATTTTGCGCAAGCAGTAGATAACAATAACAATCAATAACAAGGTATAACAATAACAACGACAAACTCAACAACTTAATAAGATAACAAACGAAAACGTCCAAAGAAATATCAAATTGCAATGATGCTCACGACATACGTAACACGTCTGAACCTGAATGTGACTCTGCCTTGATACGACTGCTCTGCCGCTCGGCATAGGCATTTAATTGCGAATTGACCAATGAGGGCTCCTGTTTTACGTCGAGACGGCGGCGTTAGCGTGAAAATCACCCGAACCTTTTGTTTACATCCGGTCTATCTCTTATCTGAATATACTGTAGATGTCCAGACCATTCTCCAATTGAACATGCGATAGATATGATGTACTTAAGACCGACTCTTTACCTCATCCTCCTCCACCGTTAGCAGCTCTTGGAATCAAGTACAGCTAGCTTGGAATGGGATACTCCAAGAAGACATAAATCAGACTTCATTGAGGAAATCTAACGATACTGCAAATATTTTCATTTCAATGTTTAATCGCGACTTCTTCTTGCTTATGTCTAACATTATACAACATTTTTATTTCGTATAAAATTACCTTAACTGGATGTTCTATTTTCTTTATCACTGAGTATATTTATAAAGCACTGGCTGTATGGGCTGTATCGCTTGAACCGCTGAAATAATTCCCTTAGACTGTCTCCACAGGGCGTGATATTAACGTCAAACTGAGAAATGAAATTAAAAACGCTGCATTAATAGAGAGTTCAGGGCTTAGTTTTTAAATAAATCTGACAATTAAAAAAAATATAATTGCTTGTGTTATCAGAATTGTAGAAGTATGCATCAATTGTAACGTGACATTTATACAAATGAGACCCAAAATGGTCGTCAGGCACTATCAAACTAGCCAGTTCCCGACTAAGATGACCCATTCTGTGCTCTTCTCGGTTATACGTATTTATACCAGAAGCATTTGTAGCTAAGGTTCTAAGCGAGTAAGCATATCTGTGTTTGGGGAATGCCTCAAGATGCGTTTTCTTTTTGAGCACGGACAAGCAGGGTTGCCATATATGTTCAAAATCGATGAATTTTGTAGAAAATCAAAAAAAGTGAAAAATAAATATTGCTGATGTCATAAAAAATAAGCAAAGTAATGACCCTTCCGCCCCCCTGTAGCCTGTAGTGCTATGTAATACTTCAATGATCGCTTTGTATGAGGGGGGGGGGGTGGTGGTGTCTTATAAATAACATTTTCTAAATGCCCATCAGCTAGATCTGTTCAACTATAATTTTCAGTAATAATTTGGCACAAATGTGACTCACTGATAACTTGAGAAATGTTTTACCTCAGGTGATTGATTGTCTGATGATTGTTTGAATACACTTTATCGTTGAGTAATCTCCACAAAAGTGTCTTGCCAAAATCTATGGCAAAGTGTCCCTGGCACTAGGCCAGAGAGATTGTCGATCATAGTACGGAGTTACAGGTGGTTAGGCTTGTTGAGCGAGTAACCAGGGTATTCATCCTTAACGAAAGTACCGGTATATTGCTTCTGGATGTCTCAAAGGCATTTGACAAGGTGTGGCACAAGGGCCTCCTCTACAAATTGATCCAAAGCGCTTCCCTTTTTGACTCATAAAACTTTTGGAATCCTCCCTTGAGGGTAGGACATGTCGGACCAAAATTAATATCGTTCTGTCAACAACACGGCCCGTCAATCCCGGTGTGCCTCAGGGTTCGGTTCTTTATTCACTTTTTATTCATGACGTGCCTTGCCTCAGCAACTGTGATGCTGATGACACTGCCCTGGTGGCCTAGCCATATTCTAGGAATCTGGTTTAAGACAGGCTGTAAAGTGCAGTGGACAAGTTATTGGAATGGGTGGATCAAAATTAATCATTCGAAAGCGCAGGCTATCTATTCTACTCAAAAAACGTTGCGACACCCCGTCTGAGGTTTCAGTGAACGGAACTCAGATACCATGGGAAAGTATCTTGGTGTCACTCTTAACAAGGAGATGACCTGGCATCTATCCTATGCTATGTAGAACAGTAAGTTTGGTCAACAAAGTTCAAAGTTCCGCTATACAAGATGGCTATTAGACCAGCTACTTACGTAGTCTGCAGGTTTTGTAGAACAGAACCTTGTGTACAACCACTAATGTCCCTCCAATGAGACCCTTCACAAAGACCTTGACATCCGTTATCTGAGGAACTACATGAAACAACAAGCGCAGCTACGTTTTAGTCAAGTGGAATCGCATAACAATATTTTCTTGCGGAAGTCATTAGACCACACAGTCGAGCAAGTTCACAAGCACACAAGGCCGCGGCTCGCACTGCGAACAAAATTGAATCGGTCGAATTAGGTCCAACCAAAATTTCAATTAGTCTGCAACAACCAATTTCTGAATTAATTTTAGGTACTCCCGAATACTATTTAGCAATGCCAAGGCACCTCTCAAATTGATGGACTTCCTTCTTCTTTGCTCTCCCTCATTTGTTCCTTCCTTTTTTCTTCCCTTCTTTCTCCATGACCTTGTCTGGGCAACCAGACATGACGGACCTACTGATTTACAATACTTTAACTAAGAGCAAACGTCCTACGGACCGCTCTGACAGACAATGACGAATAGAAAGTGAGATTGTTCTATTTCTTCTTAATTGAATTTTTAAATACTTTTGCTGAAGAATTATTTTTCTCTTCCCAGGTCCATTCTGTACTACGCGACAACTACAATATGTGCTGTGATACTGGGCATAATCCTTGTAGTGACGATAAAACCAGGTGTGGGCGGAATAGCTGTAGACGAGAGGACCAAGCAAGCCGACGAGAAGGTGCCCAGACATGTGCTTACCCAAGACACTATGCTCGATCTCATCAGGTGCGTAAAGAAAACAAAGTACAAGGATTTCTTCTGATGACGTTCATTTGCTTATGAGTATTGGGAATACTTTATTGTTATTTCCGAGACACATATACACAATATATAGTACCCGTTAAAAAATGAATAAAAAATTTAAAATATAAAAAACAAACATAAGCGACTAATCTTCTAATAATAGAAGCTTACAAACCACAAAATTTCGAGACGGCGTAATAATAACTTTTTATAAGGAACTGCTTAAGTTTTATTTCGAAAAAGAACATATCTTTGGCATTTCTGCTGGCAAACTGTTGAAATTGTTTGACCCTAAATACTTTGGAGACTTCCTGGATTCATAATATTTCACAAACGATATCACCAACGGTCACCAACTTGGCTCTGATTACTCAGTATATTTCTGAAGTACTGGACGGTCAGGGACAAGTTGATGTCATCTACACAGATATTCAAAAGGCATTTGACCAAGTTGATCATTATGCACTTCTAGATAATCTTAAAACAGTGGGTATGTTTGATGCAATGCTGTCGCTCATGAATTCATATTTGAGGGATAGAAGGTTATTTGTCGAATATGGTGGTCATAGGTCGAGTTACTATCGGGCCACGTCCGGGGTACCTCAAGGGTCAAATCTAGGTCCATTATTGTTTTTGATATTTATTAATGACTTGTCTTTTGAACTGAAGTGTTTCCATTTGTTTTTCGCTGATGACCTTAAAATCTGCACGTTAGTCAAGACAGTCGAGGATTGCGTCATGTTGCAAGATGACTTAGCTCTAATTTCGTCATGGTGTTCACGAAACTGTCTCAGTCTGAATGTTTCGAAATGTAAAGTTATGACTTATACAAGAAAGGTTAACTATTTAATTTATGATAATTATAACATCAATGGTCAGGTTATAGACAGATGCACCTCTTATAGAGACCTTGGAGTTACTTTTTATACCAAGCTAAGGTTTACTGGGCATATACTCAATATCTCGTCTGCTGCCACTCGACTACTTGGTTTCTGTATCAGAAACTGGAAGGGTTTCTCCATTGTTGATAAATTAATGACTTTATTTTTTACTTTTGTCAGGAGCAGGTTGGAGTATGCGACTCTGATCTGGTCTCCTATATACCAAAATTCTGTCGTGATCCTTGAGGCCATTCAACGTAAAGCTTTAAAGCATTTTCACCTTAAATGCACAGGTTCTTATCCAGAAAGAGGTTGTGACCATAGTGCCCTATTAGAGTTTTTCAATTTGGATTCACTGTCAACCAGACGAAACATATTTGCTTTGTCGTTTTTGTATGGCCTCATTCACAATAAAATTGACTGTCAAAATTTACTTAAAAAAATATGTTTCCGCGTTCCAAGGCTAGGGAGTCGACAACAAACGGCATTCTATTGTCAAGCTGGTCGTAAAAATGTTATGACAAAATCGCCAATTATGCTACATCATGAACAGTGTTACTGAATCGTGTGATACTTACAGTGACAGTTGTGCATCGATTATTAACTGCTATAGATCATCCAATCTTATTTTGAATGAGTGATACTATAGATTTAAGTCCAAGAACCATGTCTCTTTAATTGTTATTTTTTTCAGCATTTCCTGTAATTGGGTTTCACCTGTTGGAAATAAATAAATAAATAAATAAATATATAAATCTTCACATTGTCTTGTATCTGAAATCTTTATTTTTTAAATAGTTTTTTAAATTTACATACGTTAACACATCCAACTCATACATGTATATAAGCCGAGCAAAGAAGTATTCTATATCTTATAGATAGTTTCCTACAATTATGCATACTATTTACTTTAGCAATGTTTTTGATTACATTTTATGGCATATAAATACATCTATCACTGCACTTGATAGTATAGACTGATGAGTTGATCTTCATTTAGAACTGTTCGTAGATTTTTATAAATGCATGAATGTGAACTTGGAACTGACATCATATACTTGCAAAGTGCTTTGAAATTTAGATATTCATATAAATATACCCCCAAAAATTTAGTGTTGTTATAGAACTTGATCAGGTTGTCATTCATGCCATCTAACTTCTTATGTACATTATGAAATCTAACCTCACTGAGTTTGAAAATAATCGATTTTGTGCAAACCATTCTTCAAGATGCTTCAAAATGTCATTAAATTTATTGACCAATACGTTGTCATGAGGATCTGAAATTATAATTGGGGCATCGTCTGCATACAATGTAAAATTCACTTGGCCATTGAACTATTAACCCAGATATATTTATTTCTATTTATATACAATATAAATAAAAGATGCCCTAATATAGATCCTTGGGGAACCTCCATGTTAATATCAACACTTGACGTCAGGACTTGCTTTATTTCTGTAACATAATATATTATGACCTGTTTCTAAAAAAAATGATCCATGTGAGAGAACTGCCAGTAATTCTGTAACTATGTAGTTTTTTATCAATATTCCATTAAAAATACCTGAACGTGTCTAACCAGAAACAAGCAGATTTTGCGAAAACTCTATTGCGAGTCACACACGCTACAGCAAAATCGTGTGCTCTTATATTCATGCCATATTCGAATACCAAAACCGAAGAGAGCAGCATAGCTAACACGGCGTTCGTTTGAATCGTCTTTTCTATTCAATAATCACGGTGTGATGCTGTAGAATTAAGGCCACTTTGTGATAAAACAGCTCTGGAACAATGAACCACAGTATAACATCACTCTTCTAAACCGCCAGAATCGTCAGCCTGACGCGGTCAGAGTGGCGACTGAACTATTAAACGCAAACTGAAATATTTTAGTTCCAGCTGATTGCTGCTGAATCGATCCTGGTAATAGATTGCGGTCTTATTTCGATAGATATCATACTCCAGGTAGATGATAGCTACTATGCTTTCTTTCGTTCTAACAGAAAACAAGCATATACCCTGCTGATGAGTTGCCAAAAAGCACGAAGCAGATGTCCATGGTTCGCTGTCTGTGGCCAGAGGAACGAAAGTAGCATGTTTAGTTATTCGCCAAGATCGTACGGCACAAGAGACAATATACCTAAGATATATAAAAGTAAATATCGCAGTAACTTAACATTAATTGATTGATTGATCTTTCTCTTTGTCTAGCCACTATTGTGCAATTTATCATAATATTGTTAAATTTCCGCTGTTGCGAGAGAAATCCTTAATGCATAAACATCGAAGCTAGATAGAGAAACGCTGAAGCACTCATTGAATTGTCATATCTATAAATAAACAATAAAAACAACCAGACGATCGAAGATATCCTAATTAATAATGAAGATAAAAATATAATATAAACTGGTATACATATTGAATCACTGTCTGTCACTAAAATCAAAATAATAATATTGCCAATTATCAAAATCACAGGACCTTAGCCATAACATAACATCCGGTTACATTATCAGTCAACTTGATATCAAAATTATAAAATCTGAGAACTAGAAAAATCTTCTAAGCATATTGAAACTTAAAGCATCTCATACACCGCAAACTGACATACAAATCACACAGTTGTCGTAGACCCGTAGGTCCTTACATATTGGCAAGCGTATGGACACCATTAAATTCCTGTTTTTACTAGTATTCACAATATGGGTTATTGTAATGCATGTGTTGCTTTATCACAGATCTTGTAAAAAACAACAACATTAATAATCTTTATTAGCAAGAATTGGTTAATTGAGCTAAGCACGCTAATTAATTGTGCCATTTTTATCTTTATTCACAATAATGAGGCTATCAAATAAGATGACCATATTTTGAATAGGCTTTACTTCTGGAAAGCATACCAGTATACTTCAAAATGTAAATTGGTTCTTCTCAGATGTCAAAAGAAACGGTCTAATGAGAATTCCATCTCTCAAGCATGGGAAATGTATCTAGAAGTCAGATTTCAATGTTATATGTTTTTTTACTTTATCGGTGCATTTCTAAAAATCTATAACCAAGAGTCTGTCAAATCTTAAACCAAAATTCGACAATCCCTAGAAAATATCGACATAACCAACAAGTAACTCAATCATCAACCCAAGTGAGTTAAAAATCTCTAAGGTATGTGACGACAAGCACATGTCCCAAGGGCCAGGGTGTAGTAAGGAATCTCACCTCAGTTTGTCAAATGAAATGCTCTGACAAGTGATGCGACTGGAAATTATAGACTATTAAGGAAAGTGTCCAGAAGGAAAGCCACGTTTCTTTCTGTTAAGATTTTTCACAGAGGTGATTGAAACAGTCAAGACGAAATATTCCATCATATAAACCAGCAGACAACTTCAAAAGAACTGTATGTAACTCAGATACATAGTCGTAGTGATAACATTATTTCCATGGGCGCTCATTGGGGGAGGGGGCAAGGGTGGCATATCCCCCCCCTGGCTTCTGCTTCAAAGTGAAATATTCTTAATAAGATACCCCCCAATCCTTGGGTAAGAAGCGGCGTGTGAGTTTTTTGGCTCTTCAAAATATTCAAACAGAAGATTATTATTTCTGCTACCATTTTGAATAATTGCACCCCCCCTCGTCTTCAATTGTCATCAAAGGGTTGTCTAGTTCTCATCATTTTTGATCCTGCACAACCTGTAAACCAAACATGCCCCCCCTGGATTTCGCTATATGGGCGTTCATGATTATTGCTACTAAAGTGATAATAGTTATAATATTGTACACCATAATTATAATACACATACGAGGTCCAACACAATGGTCGGACGGTTTTTAAAAAATCACAAAATCGGTAATTTTTACTCAAAACAAATTTATTGATGGAATAGGCGGAGAGTAGTAGCCGTCCTTTGTGGCGGTCCCTGTATAGAGCGCTATTATAAATGCAAACAACTATTATATGTGCTATATAACATTTGACGTAACGGAAGACTTCAGTCTAATGTTCAAAAAATTCTCCAAGTATCATTGGAAGCAGTTTAGTTTCAGAAACTTTCTTTTTGAAGCTTCCCAAGTTGCGATGCTTAATTTCGCTTGTGAAATATATTGCATGCAAACCTATAATGAAAAAAATACTATACATATTACGTATTACTCTGAAAGCCATTCACCATATGGAAACCATTACTCTACTAAATGACTCAGAGCATTTCTCATTGTAGATAAAAATAATAAAATTTACAACTCCATCAAACTGCCAAAAATCACTAGAGTCAGATAAAACTGAGAACCTGTGTGTAAAATTCGATTTTTACGGGATTTATCGCAGTCTCACGGCCAACTTTAATTTTAGGTTTGGCAGAAGAGAGGCACTTACTATAGTGTCTATGTTGTAGTGACGTCCGTTGTTTTGGCTCGTCGTATCTTTACGCCTATTGTTCTGCTCGCTATAAACAGTATCATATTTATTGCATTCATTGCGACGAGAGCTCAGAATCAAGCAAGTTAAATTCCGTATCGCCTTTGCATATAAAACAAATGATTAAGCATACGGAGTACCGGAGGCAAAAGTCTGTCAGAAATCATGTACCTTGGGCTTAGTAGGATACTTTCTAATGATAATTTAAAAAAGTAGGTCTTTCAGAGCTATGTTCCTCAAGGGATCATGGGGAAAAAGTCAGTATTATTTATATTAATTATAAAATTTCTGGTAGGATTTTTGAATTTTGGCCGCCCCAAGGCGAATTTCCCTCCTCGCAGTCCTCAAAATGTTTTGAGGCTCACACTGCGTTTTATTTTCAAGGAATTTCTGGAGCACATTCGTATGTTTGTACTGGCCTTCCTGGGTAAAATTCCTGAGAGCGCCCACGGCGATTAGTAGGGCAGTTGTCAGATAGTTGGTGAGACCGAGGTTAAAGGGATCGAGAGTCACTGTCGCATCTATGCCCGAGTAATGTACACGGTATCTCAAAATAAGTCTTCGACCGTTCTGTAGCATATAGAACACAAAAAATATGTCATACGCTCCTATAAAAAATGTCTCACGGGGCTCTAGGGCGCTACTGAAAATAGGCTTTTCTTAAATAATCATCACTGGATAATTCGACGGAACTTTCACATTGTAATTGATTAGGACATTAACAAACAAGAAGGGTCGTAGCGCTCATCCAGTTTAGATGGATGGCTGAGTTCGGGTTCAGATCAACGAGGACTCCTTTTCTCCATATGACCTCACTCTATACAATGCCCAAATAAGACCTATATATATATACATAGCTCTACAGGCCTTAAAGGCCCAAGGCTTCGTTTGTAATTTATTTCCATTTCTTCTTATTTTGGCACATGAACTTCCAGTTTTGTACACCTAAGCTTCTCAGATCAGCTTGTACTTCGCCCTTCCATCTTTCCTTCGGTCTCCCTCTCCTGTTCTTGCCTCCTATGCTTCAGCTAACAATCATTTTTGGAATCCTATTTTCTGCCATCCTTTCTATATGCCCTAACCATTTCAACCTTTGTGCTCTTATATATCCTGTGATACTTGATTCTTTATACATATCTGCAAGGTCTCCAAAAATTTTCCTTAATACCTCTCTTTCCCACACTTCTAGGGTATTTATATCTGCCTTCCTCAAGATCCATGTTTCACAAGCAAATGTAACTAATGGTCTTATTACTGTACATGAGATGGTTCAGGCTATATAAACATCTATTTCCCTTCCCAAGTGTTGCTTTGATTCCTTCCCTTGTGCCCGTTTTCTTGTGAATGTTGATCAGAAATAGACAAATTGATCGACCTCTTCAAAATTATATATTTTGCCACTGCCTGTTTTTACCTTTCTCCTGTCATAAAATCATCATTTGTCTATCTCATATATTTAGTTTTTCCTGATTTATTATTAGACTGTTTCCTTTGCTTTCTCTTCAAGTGTTTCCAGTACTTGTATCAATTCTCTTTTGCTTCTAGCAACAGTTATTGCAATGTCATCTGCGAACGCTAAACATTGGTGCTTTCTATTGTATAATAAACCATCCTTATTTAAATTTGCTGCTCTGAATATATCTTCCAATACATCGTTGACTAAGACTGTTGACAACGGATCCCATTGCCGCAGCCCCACTTTTACGTTGAACCTATCAGAATATTTTCCTTTAACTTTTATTCTATTTTCCGTTTCCTGAAGTGTCAACTTTATCAGCATTATAATATTTTCACTATTTTGGGGTTCTGCCGCCCTGACTACATTATCCATGTTCGATGTTGTTCAGAGCAGCGCTGTACTACTGATTGATGACTCTTCTCTAACGGAAAGTCACGGGACCTTTTAGCATTGGCGGGTCGTCGGCAATCTAGCTCTCTTCTTCCACTACGCCTTCAGGACTAATTTGAAAGCCTGAAATCCTGTTGAGAGAAATGTGTTCTTTTAATCGGTAAAATATGATATTCTTGGAAAACAATACTCCTCTTTCAGTGCAATTCGGTTAATGTTGGTACTGGATCTGCATAGTGTACTGGATCCGCCATTTTGTAAATACAATAATTCTTATAGTATAATTGTGATTAGCCGTTCCAGGATATTGATCTTCAGATCACTTAAACACGCTTCAGATTTCTCTTGGGCTTTCTGAGAATCGACTGCATTGTAAATTGATACGAACGGTATACATTAAATTCGTGTGGATCGTGGGTGCTTGATTGCACTGAGGAATTATCACTCGCGTTCCTATTTCTCTTATAATCGCCAAATGATGTTAGAGAAATACTTCAGTAACTTTTGTAGACTAACTTTTATTGAGACATCAGCAACAGTTGAGAACAGAAGAACAAGTAACGAAATGAGTACAGAGAATGGTCAAAGACCCTTTTTATATTATAAGATTACACTTACGAATTTTCCAGAAATCAGTAGTCTCGGGTAAAAATGCAAACATCACATCCTGTCTCACGAGTATGGGACGTTGTTATACTCGTAGGGATTTAGATGGTGTTAATGCTTTAAGGATACCATAACTTATAGGAACTTGTGATTTTTTTTTATTCTATATGTATCGGAGAGATGGTCCTCTTATTCGGGACCACCCTGTATAGATATTAATATTATGTTTTCATTCGTATCCGTTTCTAATAAAGACATTTTGAGTTTAAATAAGGCGATAAATATCGTTCGTGTAGAAATACATGCACTTCATCGGACGAAAAGAGAATCACTATGAATTCGGCCTTTCAAAATATATGAAAATCGGAGCTAGGTCCTCAGCATAATAAATATCATCCCATGACTCTGGAACAAAGTCCCTGGTCAATTTCAGTGATTTTGATCAAAATACTAATATACTTTTGAATTCTCTTAGCTGGTGCTCGCCACCATAAGTGTTAACAAGTTTTTGGTAAATCTATTTAGAACAGGCTGTTGGCAAGGCCATTATCATTTCTTTGTAATGGGTGATTTTTTTGCTAGTATAATTTTGGTAACACTGTTTTTGACAGATGACGCGTGAATCGTGTCTTGTGTCATTGTCAAACTTGTTCAGTTTGGTCTATAATTTAACCATGAATCGACTTACGAACGCAAATTATTGAATTTTACTATCAAAATTCATGCTCGATTAAGAGAGTGCATCGAGCACTGCTTCCAATTTATGGGCAATTTGGTCGGCCTACTGAGGGAGCTATTCGGAAGCTTGTGACTAAATTTCGAACCCAGTTTACATTGTTGGACATTAAACCACCAACACGCAGACGTAGAGTGAGGACTGAAGAAAATATTGCGGCTGTATCCGCCAGTGTTAGTGATGACCGTGAAATGTCGATTCGCCGCCGTTCGCAGCAATTGGGCCTCTGTTACCCCACTACGTGGAAAATTTTGCGACAGGATTTGGGTGTAAAACCTTATAAGATACAGCTGGTGCAAGAATTGAAGCCACACGACCTCCCACAACGTTTCCAATTGGGTGAATGGGCGCTGGTAAAGTTGGAGGAAGATCCACATTTTTATTGAAAAATTGTGTTCAGCGACGAAGCTCATTTCTGGTTGAATTTGTACGTTAACAAGTAAAATTGCCGCATCTGGAGTGAAGACCAATCAGAAGCATTGCAAGAGCTACCAATGCATCCCGAAAAAATCACTGTTTGGTGTGGATTATGGGCCGGTGGCATCATAGGGCCGTACTTCTTCAAAGGCGACAATGGCCGGAACGTAACTGTGAATGGCGAGCGTTACCGTGAGATGATAACAAACTTTTTTTTGCCCAAAATGGAAGAGCTGGACTTGGCTGACATGTGGTTTCAACAAGACGGTGCCACATGCCACACCGCACACGAAACAATGGCCCTATTGAGAGGCGAGTTCGGTGAACAGTTTATCTCACGCTTGGGGCCCGTCAATTGGCCGCCTAGATCGTGTGATTTAACGCCGTTAGACTATTTCTTGTGGGGCCATGTTAAGGCAACATTTACATGAAATAAAATAAATTATATCGACCGTTCTATCGACTCAAATAAAGATTTAATCGTTTTTTCAAATTTTTTGAGTTTTTTTTTGAAAATCAAATATTGTACCTCTTAAAAAATCACCCGTTATTAGCTGAAGAGCAGCAAATAGCAAAAACACAACAGGACATTCCAACGAATCAGATAACGCTTAGAAAGAACGGACAACGAGACAAAAAAATAAATAAAAAATAGCTTTCGTATAGTCTTCTTAAGAGTAGTTATTTGGTTATCGTAGGTTTAAGCGATACATGCTTCATGTGACTTTCTCGATTTCATTTCAGAAACCTCTTCCCGCCGAATCTGGTCCAGGCATGTGTAGCCCAGGTAAGCATAATGCATTCGTTTTAAAAAGAAACATATTCTGTACAATATCTCGGCATCAATAAGCTCTACTTCTTTGAATTTTTCTCTACAAATGTAGAAACATCGTGAAAATCTTTTGTTGAGTGATATAATTCTAATTATTCCTCTATTTTTCCCTCAAGAAATAATCTGCATGATTTCAGTCTGAGTCACCTCACGAATACTTTCCTGAGAGACAGTCAATCAATTTTGTTTTTTATTACAGAGCCAGACCCACTTAATAGAGCCCTTGAACGCCACCGGTAAGTAGAAGACGTTTAAATTCGCTTTTGTCTCTATTTTTCCAAGAATATCTCGATTTAGAAATTTTCCGCCATCATAATACTACCCTTTTAATGTGGAAAGTCCAAGTAATTCCTCAAATTCTACCCTACAATATTTTTCATCCCACTTACATGAATAACTACTGGATACCATGGCAATGGATATAAAACTGTTCATTATATTGCCGGACGCTCTGACGATCTTGCCATTAGGATCATCTAACAGGGTGAACACTCTGCCAAAACAGAAGGTCTATTGCTAATGCACAAAAAAAGAGTGATCTTGATTCAAGAGCAACTATCTTCAATTGAGGACCATGACTTCAAATTCAAATTCAAATTCAAATTATTTTATTATCCTAAGAGACATTACAAAGTATGTATAGGATTCGTCGGAATAAAAACTAATAAAACAACTCAAAATAAATATATGTATAAAACAAACACACAAATAAATCATAACATAACAAACTCAGAGACGGCATAATAACATTTACACACAAGAAAATCTGTTAGTTTAGCCTTAAAGTTATGCATATCTCCACACTCTTTAATATGGTTTGATAGCCTATTGAAAATTCGTGGACCCAGTATTTTCGGAGATCTGACGCCGATCTTATACTTAACAAAATACACATTCAAGTCTCCAGCTTGTCTGGTCGAGTACGAGTTAAAATTCTTTAAAAATCTAGTTTTGTTAATAAAAGTATACACAGCCATTTCGTATAAAAATAAAGATGGTAAAGTTGAAAATATCCTTACAAGAATGCCTACTGCTGACTCCCATCATGCATCTGACCACTCTTTTTTTGGGCCAAAAACACTTGTTGGGCATTTGTAGACAAACCCCAGAAGCATAGTACATATCTGCGTCGTGTCTCAACTTGAGCATAGTATACAGAAACTATCTGTGCTTCGGTAAGGACAGTTCGCAAATTTTTCATAAGATATGATTGGGAGTTTATCTTTGAAGCAATGTATACACAGTGGTCTTTAAAAGTCAAACCTGTATCTAGATACAAGTCCAAGAATTTAACTTGCTTGTTAAGGGACATTCTTGAGCCTTTAAAAGTGATATTTAATGTCCTCGGCTTCTTCTGGATGTTGTGAAATTGGACAGCTGATGTTTTTTCCGAATTCAAATAGAGCTGATTGCTGCTAAACCACTTGTGAATACCTTGCAATAAAACTCCACAATATCTCTCTAATGTAGCCTCGCACTTATTCGATATCACCACTGAAGTATCATCTGCATATAAAATGAATCTAACTTCGGAGGAACAGAACTCAAGGTCATTTACATATAGACTGAATAGCACAGGTCCTAGAATAGAGCCCTGAGGGACGCCTATGGAGATGAAAGCTATGTCGGACTTAATAGGCACATTCAGACCACTATCGACGATACTCACAAATTGGGACCTATCCTTCGATATGTTTCTAAGACATACATTATATCTTTGAATTAGGGTCAATTTTTCAATTGTTTCTTTAAAACGCCGAAATTAGTTTATTTGAAGTATCTGTGATCTCACATCAATATCATAATTTCATAGAAACTCATGTTCTTGAATCAATAGCACTCTTTTTTGTGTGTAAGTATTTTACGGATTCAATATGGAGTCTATAAGAAAAAATGAAGTTGATCATTGAGAGAACGACGAAACGCCCAATAGAGCAGAACAAGTGGTAATGTTAATGTAACTTTTATCTTGAATTCCTGTCTCAAAAAGCCAGGAAAAATTAAAGGCGTTCTTGAGAAGATTCGGTTTCTGTCGTCTCTGGAAATAATCTGAACTGCAAGCGCCATCTTCTTAGTTTCATCATTGCGCAACTTTGCCCTTACTTAACCGATACAGTACGGGGATGTCTTTTAAGTTTTGCATATGGAAATAAAACAACACAGTAGGTAGTTTTAAATGACTTTATTGTTTTTCAAAGTATTCTCCACGAAGATTATTACACATCTGTATGCGCTCGACCCAATTTTCGAAGCACTTATTCCACTCGTTTGCTGGCAGATCCAAAACGGCATTTTTGAATGCGTCAACTGCTTCTTCTGGTGACTGGAACCTCTGATCACGCAGTCTGTTTTTAATTTTCGGGAAAGTAAAGAAATCGTTAGGACTATATGGAGGATGGTCCAATAATTCCACGTTTTCTTCCGTTAAATACTGCCTTGTTTTTTCTTCTTTCGGGGTTGATTTTTTGAAGCTCGGTGATGACTTTTGGCAAACAAATGGTGGTATACCAACCCGCAGTAGCAGTTCTTTGCTCATTAGGAGGAATTGTTGCAAAATGACCTGCTTTTGACACAAATGTCGCGACCATCTTTTTCGAAACACTTCGAGAACGGATGGTTTTTGTTGGCTTTTCTTCACCTTGGAACACCCAAACAGCCGACTGTCGTTTATTTTCTGTTTCATAACAGTAAATCCACGATTCATCATGCTGTACACATTTTTTGAGTTTCCGGAATTGAAACGGTCAAGCGTTTTTTGACACCGATTAACACTGGCTGCTTTCTGCTCTCCAGTCAACAGGTGGAGTATCCAACGAGAAACTAATTTTCTTACTCCTAATTCTTCATGTAAAATTTTTGAATTGAGGTCTCTGAGATCTTCTAATGACGCCTCAATCTCGCGATATGTCACATGTCTATCTTCAATGATGAGTTTGCGCACAGCATCGACGTTTTCCTGGGTGACTGCCGTTTTTGGTGCATCCACCCTGGGATATTCGCTAAGACTCACCCGTCCACGTTTGAATTCTCCATACCAACGGGAAATTGTCGACTGATGTGGCGCTTCGTTGCCGAAAACAGACAGTAACTCAGCAAGGCATTCTTGTTGCGATAATTGTCTCTAAAAGTTGTAATTACATTATGGCGCGAAAATGTTCTCGGTTGAGTTCCATTTTTCTAATGACTTGGTGACACTTAAGAATTCACTGTAGTGAGAACACTGCACGCATTCTTGTGAAACCTTGAATTTAAGTTTACTAAAGAGTGAGGTTAAGATTCAGTACAGACGTTCGATCCGCGCGGCCTACTATGTTTCTATATGCAAAACTTCAAGGACATCCCTCGTATCTCTTACCGTTTTCGAGATGGCAAGTGTCAAATTTGAAATACATGGTAGTGGTCATATCGTAAAATTGACTATTTCATGAAACGATTCGAGAATTCAACAGAGATCAATGATAACAAATCGATGATCCACTAAACGCGCTGCTACTTCATGAAGCACGTTTGATCAGATCGTAAAATATTTGCATTGGTTAACGATAGAGGAGGTGGGAGCCTGTTGTTTACATTTCAACATGACGCTCGTTAAAAGTTGTTTTTCGAAGTGAAATGCTATAAGCGAAACAACACATGAAAGTTGACATTCAAGGTATTCAAATCTGGATCTATCCAAACTAAAGTATACATATTGTGTCAAATCACTTTAGCCAAATGTTCAAATCGATAGGTCGCCCTAGGGACCCCTAATTTCAAAAAGACTGAAACATCAAAACACAACACCTCTACATAGTTTACCAAGTAAATACCATCATTTACATATGTATTTTGAAGATATTTTAGCTAACAAGCTAATGTGGAATAACACGGCTGATTTTGAACCCTTTTTTTGGAAAAAACAACGATTGTTTACAGTTTCACATCTATTTTTCTTATTACTATACAGTGTATGTTATATTCTTATAATTTAGAGCATAATTTTGTGTAAAAAGCAAAAAAAAAAAACTGGATAAAACAGTATTCCATTCTAGAGTATAACCACCAAAATGCAACTTTGAAGTTCTATAAAGTAGCAAGCAGAGGGTTCCTTAAAGAAAAAATGATATTTTCGTGCAAAAATGAAATGAACTATTTGCGATAAGCGCTAGAGTATAGTCTTACCCATAATTCATTCATCCTTAGTAAATGTCATATTCCGTTATTTCGATTCCATTTTGTTTTCAATTTGTTGTACCTGTGTTCTTGAACTTATATTCTGCACCACCAACTGATGGTCGACGGAACTAATAAGGATTAAATTCCATTTGCTGTGTCATATATAATGAAATATACTATACTGATTTAAGAAAGGCAAATGCCAAAGGAGTCGTGGAAGTTCAAGGAGCGATTCGAGGATACGACTAACGTGTTGGGTCTGGTCACTTTCTCGATCGTCTTTGGAATCGCACTGGGAAAGCTTGGAGTAAAAGGGAAAATACTCCTGGACTTCTTTGAGTCAATGAGTGAGGCGATGATGATTATCACAAGTTGGGTTATTTGGTGAGTATACTTTTCGATTCATCTATACTGTCGTTAATTATAACAATTGGTTACGCTGCCAGAGATGTACCGACTTGCACTGACATTGTCTGGAATTTAGTGTAAAAAATATCCATTACATGTTCCAGACTATAGATTCAAATTCAGGCATTTGGAGTGAGGTACATTCAGACTCTGAGCCAAAATTCTTGTACCGCTGCTTCCCTGTTATTAAAAGTATTATGCATGCAATAATTTCTAGATAAATGTCAAAACATAAATGGAATGCCTAGATTTATGAAAACATAATTTTATAGTAATCAGTCTGTCAATCTGCAAGTTACCAAATATCATTCCAAAAATAAGTTATATCCAGAACTCCTGCGAATAAAATTCACGAAGTCCCCAAAGTTGGATGCAAAGGGAATTGACGGTCTAAGTTTGTCAATTATTCTATTGTGCCTACCAGTTGTCCTCTTCCACATCAATAATAATTGTTTAGAACAGGGTACTTTCCAAAAGGCTTAAGCCCGTCGAATCCCAGATCTAAGACCTATCAGCTTACTACCAATTACTGGAGCAGCTGGTGAAATTGCAACTAACCACTTTTCTTGAAGAATACTCGATAATTCCTGATACCCAATCTAGCTAAAATTATAATACAACCTCCGCGCTACTCGATTTGCGGGATAATATTTTAGAAGGCTTAGATAAGAAAAATGCACTAACGTTAATATCTATAAATTTCTCGAAACCATGAATTACTGCTATCTAAATTAAAATTGCATAGGGAGTCTCTCTTCTATTTTTCAGAAGTTATCTTCATCGAAGAATTCAATGTGTTTGCATTGCTCAAAAAATTTCTTATGTAACTACAATTCCTTCAGGTGTGCCTCGAGGATCTGTGTTAGGACCGTTGTTATTTTTGATATATACCCTTGACTTGAACAAAATCCTTGATCATTTACGTATCCAACATTTCAACAGGATTGTTACATTATTTTAATCCTCAGGATGTCGAAAACACTGTAGAAGTTTGACAAAATCATGTTAATAACGTAATCCAATATTCCTCTGATCATAATCCGGCTGTCAACCTTCAAAAGTCAACATTCTTATTATTTTGTGCCCAGAAAAAACAGGATGATTTATTGTCACTCTTGAAAGTCCAAACAAGTAATCCGATCTTCTCCAAATCTGCAAAAATTCTTGGTGTGGTCATTTTCACAAAGTTAAGATTAATCGATCATGTCAAAAGTCCTTCGCAAAAAATTCATCTAAAGCTACGTACCCCAATTTCAAGCATACGTAATTTACTAAATTTCAAGTTACGTGAAAAAATATGCGAATCCTTGGTCATATCTATTATAAATTACTGTAATATACTATTTTATCCTTACAACTATACCAGAAACCTCAATCAAAACAATTGTGTTCCTTTTTGAACCGGATTCCATAAATTTGATCATGCATCAGTAAAATGTTCGATACTCAGTTGATTGAAAATATATATCATTATTTGGTTCTCATCTACGAATTACAACTTATGTTTAAACCGCCTTTTTTGTGAAAAACAATCATTGAACGATGACATTTACTCTAGAAGATTCTTTTACCACTAGACCGATTTCCAAAAACTACAAACCTTTTCCATCCTCGGCACAGCAGTAACCTGATGCGACAATTTCATCAAAATCCGAGCGGTACTTCTCAAATTACAGGCGGTTATAAAATAGCGCACAGACCAACAGGCAGACGGACGGACAGACCGACGGAAGCGAGTGACATGGTTTTTCGTGATGCGCATGTCATATAACATAACATAATATCTCAATTTCGAAATTGTTTGCGATTACAATAATTCCTCGCCAGTTTCGGCATAGTAAGTAAAACGGATGAAACTCGAAAAAACTGATTGAAAATTTTCTCTCTGACAGGATATCTCCCATCGGTGTCTACTTTCTGGTCGTTGCTAAGATGATGGAAATCAAGAGCTTCGGGGAACTTGTGGGAAGACTTGGGCTGTACTTCATGACGGTGCTTCTTGGCTTATTCCTTCATGGATTTGGTACCCTCTCTGTGATATTCTTTGTCGCAGTACGCAGACTGCCCTTCAAAGTTATCGGTCAGCTCAGTCAAGTGCTGATCACGGCATTCGGAACAGCGTCCAGGTAAGAATCTTCAACTAACACTTTTTAAAAGGTAATAACGTATGTTTAATTTAATATTTATGTACGCGGATGAGGTGAAAAGTTCTCGGCCTAAAACTGAAGTTGCCCTCTAATCAGCTCCAGTATACAGTCTGAGTATATCAAACAAACGGAATCCAAATATCGGAGAAACGGTGGATCAAGTGTGGTGGAATCGATTAGGATTATGCAGAAAAAAATCATTTTTTAACCAAAAATTGCAGACTTTTCTCTTCGAGGCGAGAGCTTTTCACCTTACCCTGACATATATGAAGATAGCCGCAGCTGCAGAAATTCTAATAGAGAAAATATACAGTCAAGTAGGCTAACTCAAGCATTATTATGCAAATATTCAAATAGCCACACACGAGCTATGAGCATACAAAGGTGATATTCTAGAGATAACGAAAAATTAATCACATAATTTTTTGTCACAGTTCCGCGACGATGCCGATAACTATCCAGACGATGGACAAGATGGGCTTGGATCCAAGAGTTACCAGATTCGTAATTCCAATTGGTGCAACGATAAATATGGACGGCACGGCATTGTACGAAGCCGTGGCAGCAATATTTATTGCTCAGCTCAAGAACATAGAAATGTCTTTTGGGAAGACAGTCGCTGTTTGGTGAGTAGAGTCTTGGTAGATACTTAGCGGTTTTGTTTTTAAATAAAACCAACGAGTTTGAAAAGAAATAATAAATATCACGTTATACAGGGTGTTCTGAAAGTGTTGAGTTTCCTTTTTAGAAACAGCCACGTTTGAAATAACAGAGTTAATTTGCTGTGAGACAGCACCGAAAACGTAATAAAGAAATTGTAGATAAATACTATTTATCTGATACGTCACTTCAAGTACTGCCCTGTCACATGTTGTGTTTGTAATTACTCATTTAAGTTGTCGCTGTTTGATTCAAAAACACGAGTTTGCTTACTTTTCCCCTTTTGCGTCTGGGGCTGTCTACTCTGTCAACTCAGACAGCTTTAGTACGATTTAGACGATTTAGACGACGGCGATGTTCTAAATATTCGAATACATTCGCGAAGTATCAACAGGATCTTGAACACGCTCACAGTAAACCATCAAATCGATAACTACGTTATTGCCGCAGGAATGTGCCAATTTTGGTTTTCAAATGTCATTTGTTGATAAACTAGGTTAACCTACACACTGCGCAGCGCCTGACATAAGCTCAATGACTCGCATGGTACCACAACACGTTATAACCTTTGATTTAGGAGGAAAGGGTGTCGAAACGGCATATTTAGAGTTTTTCGGAACTTAATATCTCGGTTACCACAAGGATTTGTTATATAAGTGACATGTAAATCCGAACACCCAGTTTAAATGGTTTTATTTTAATAAAAGTTGGTGAATGTATTTATCTTACTGTAAATAACAAGTGAAAAAATTTTCAGCCTTATCAGTTGGACATTCCGGTTTTTATACTGCTTTTTTTTAATTCACTTACGCTCTAAAAATGAATATTTTAGCGGCAGTAAAGAATCAACGTTGGCGGATTTTGGTTCTTGACAACCTTTACGATCGGTTACGATGCCTAGAGTACGGAGACCTGTACGATTTCGTCAACTTAGTGAGTTTGATAGGGGCCATATAGTGGGACTTCGGGAAGCTGGACTTTCTTTTCGGGCAATTGCAGTTGGAGTGCAAAGAAGTGTAGACACTCTGTTTAGGTGTTGTCAGGCATGGCTTCGAGAAGGCCGTACGCAAAGAGCAAGGGGCACTGGACGCCGCCGTAGAACAACATACCGTGAAGATCGCCGCCTAAGATTATTGGCCTTAAGGGACCGTTTCTCCACCACCAGGTCCATTGCAAATGAATGGTTTGCAGAACACGGAAGACCTATTGGCATGCGAAGTGTTTACCGACGAATGAGAAGTTTTGGCTTGTTTTCATACCGGCCACACTGGGTCCTTCCTTTAACTCGAGAACACGTAATCGCCTTGAGTGGTACAGACAACGGTCACTCTGGGATCAGGAATGGAACAGTATTGTCTTTGGTGACGAGTCTCGATTTTATTTAGGCATGCACGATGGTCGTGCCAGGGTTAGAAGGCGACGTGGTGAAAGGAGGAATCCACAGTTTTTTTTTGAAAGACATGTACATCACACTGTTGGAGTTATGGTTTGGGGTGCTATAGCTTATGGTTCCAGGTCACCTTCAATCTTCATCAGAGATAAGATGAACGCGCAGCGTTATACCCACGAAGTTCCAGAACCCCATCTTTTACCCTATCTTGACACCCTGGCAGATCCAACTTTCCAACAAGATAATGCCCGACCACATGTTGCAAGAGTCACAATAGACTTCTTTCAACATAATGATGTCACATTGTTGCCATGGCCACCAAGATCTTCCGAATTATCCCCAATTGAGCACGTGTGGGATATGATGGGTAGGAGATTGCTCAATTTGCAACGTCCTCCTCAGACTCTAGAAGCACTTCGAGAGGAGTTGGTGGTTGCCTGGAATGAGATACCACAGGAGGACATTGACCACCTGATCAGAAGCATGCCTAGGCGCGTTGGAGAATGCGTAGCACATCAGGGTGCATCCACACATTATTAAAGGTCAAAGGGCTTTAAAGCAGTGCAATCATTTTGAAATTTTTATCATTTACTTATTATGCTTCATTAAGTACTTATACAAAATTTTATTAAAATAAAACCATTTAAACTGGGTGTTCGGATTTATATGTCACTTAGTATATATATTATTACGAATGCTTGCTTATTATTACTTGACCTATAATATCTATACAGGAAATTCCAAGTTTGAGGATCATGTATTGTGAGAATATATTATTTTTTTTTTAAATAGTATAATTCAAATGCCCCTCTTAGATGTTTCTACAGATGAGTATTCATCAACTAAATTTTTCAATACGCTTTTGGCACAATTGCGACTCAATTTCAGTGACAAATTGATAAATCTAATGGTTCGAGTAATTAGTAGACAGCGGAATGTCTGAAAAAATTGTGTTTGTGACATTTTCCTTCACAGTATGACACTTGCCCTATCTGCTTCGAAGAATATGTTGTAAAGGCTTATATCAGGCTCTTCGTGAACAGTTGCTATTTCCAGGAAAAGAACGTGAGAGCGAATTTCCCCACTGCTGTTGCGGAATTGTGAAATTGTATCAATGAGAAGGCGTCTCTGACTAATGAATTTGGTCGATCTCTTGTAAAATGTCACTCAAATTAGAGAATAGTTATGCGATTTGTGTACGATAGAAACATTTTTTCATTTGTCTCCAAATACAAAAGTTGACACAAATTCCACCAATCAGAAAGAAGGATTTGTGGCCTACTCGAAACATGGATCACACCTGATAGACTTACATGACGTAATTACTGAGCATTTTATTGAAAATAATAGTGCCTCGTTGCTGCTGTACAAAATTCGGCTTGATAAATTCTTTGAGGACATACATAAAATTATAGAATGTTTATTCTTTAAGAAACATGGAATAAATAATCAATTTACTTGAGTACCATGCGAAAACTGTTCTGTAACTGTTGACAGAGACATGTCGCGCACCCTACTAGATGCTATCACGACCACACGATCACGCCGCGCTGCGTTGACCATGGCAAGGCTAAAAGTAGTCCTCCTACTGCCCAGTAGAAGGAGTGAGAGCCCCCTACTAACAGGGCTGGCTTGAGGAGTAGTGTCTGGACGCAAATGAAAAAAATACTCTTTTGTAGCTTTATGACGTATTTCTTGATTTAATAGGGGCCCATCTTTCACAAATCGTATAACTATTCTCCAGCTTGAGTGACATTTTATAAGAAATCGTCCATATCCATTAGATCCATTCCTTCAAAGACGGCTTCCCATTGATTGAATTTGTCTCCCACGTGCTTTTAAAAATATGGCTTAGGAAAATTGGGACTAGATGACACGCGCGCAATATAATGAGTAACTAAATATTGTGTCTGATATTAAACTCAAAGTAGTTATTGAGGTACTTTTTATATTGTGATTAGGTAAGGTTTCTGTTTTCGTCAAAATTGCTTCTTGAATATTATTTATTTTTGGGAAGTGCTGCGTCAGTTAGCGTATTCCACCTGATGATACCCAATTAAAGAGAGAGAGAGAGAGAGATAGGTCATAAATGGATTGAAGATCCTACTGCCATTTTAGAAAAAGTATCAGAACCAAACACTCTAACTCTTTCCAAAGTGGATTTCCAAAGTCATTTTTGTGTTCTGCTACTATCTCAAAGGTGGAACTTGTACCTTTCAGATGCTTTTTTGGACTCTTTTATACCGTATGTGAATCACTATGGTCAGGTAGGATATGGATCAATGTAAATAGTTACATTAAATTTTAGATTTTTAACATATATTATACGCTTTAGTTCTTCGATCAATTGAATAATCATATTTGTAGATATAAGTACAGTAAAAAAGAAAAAGTAACAATTGCTGACACTCCGTTTTTGACGTTACAGGGGTTCCTTATCATTGACATAAAAAAATGTACTGCTTAAATAGTGGAGGTTGGGGAAAGGTGATTCTAAATGTTGCATCTTTGATATCAGTGAAACACGTTCTATTATTAAGAAGCTTCTGGTCCCAGTGATTGCAGGAAATTTAAGTTACGAATATCCGACGAATAATGTGCTCACGATTTGAAAAAATCGGTACCTGCTCTAGCTGTTTGACACCAAGAGCCAACAGATCTATCTGCAACTGCCGACCGTAGGGAAGAATGAATTCGGATATCACTCCAGTCAAGTATAAGGGAATTTAGCGTGGAACTTTAAAATTATCGATATGTCAAGGAAATATATTTTTGAGAACGATCATTTGGTAGATTTTATACCTGCATTTTCATTTGAATTTCATGACCCGTGGAATGTACCCATTTCGCCGTTACCTTCAATTTGTGTTCTGCAGTTTGTTATGTTTTTCTGGATATAAGCAGGACATAATTACCCAAGGTGCTATCAGAGCTTTTTACAAATTTTGTCTTTGTGCAAGAATTATGGTGGGTTGAAATGCTTACTATTTGTGCTCAACTTCTTGATATTTTAAAAAGATCCTAGTGGATAAAATCGAAAAAGAGGATCATTGGCACCCTGTGGACTTTTTTTTAGCACGCTGCAAGAGTTTCATTTGGATATAATAAAAAATGAAACGTAAGCTGTGAAGTGCAAATCGGTTTTTGGGCGATATTCGTCTACTGTTTCGTCCTGCCAGTCCAAGCGACGCGACGGTGCGTTCCAACTAAGAATGTATTAAAATAATTTGATTTCTTTAGTGAAACAAATTAAAGAACTCAAATTCAGTTTCGTTTATTCATGTCAGTAAACACAATTATGTTTACAAGAGTCATGTGGTACATGGTAACAATTGCACGAGGGTCATAAAAATATCTTATGCAGTCAAATTAAGAGGGAACAGTTAGGTAGTTTTTGCTAAGCAATAAACAGGTAGGCTTATACCTGGATTTAGTACATGTCTTGTCTACTGTAATAGGTAGATGGAGGCAATGCTGCCAGAAATGGATTTGTGCGATTAATAAACAAACCATAAGATTGAACTGCCGTGACCAATGAATTATGTATTGGTTTTTTTATTGCCTTACTAGAAAACTCTGTTGGGTATATGATGGAGTTTACTAGAACTTTACAGTTTGTTGTCTGCCTTCTTCTACAAGCTTCACCATGTCAGGTTTTTGACAGAATTCGCCATAAAACAATTCATTTCCTTTGGAATTGCTATCCGAATTGTTAGTTATTTTTATATCAGCTTTTTTTGGCCCGAGTTTCTTTTCAAGATTCTTGCGTTTGAGTCTTTGTTCCATCTTAGCGATAAGCGAGGTTGGACTAAGCTTAGAGCGCAAATGTATTTGGACCACATAGACAGGCCGCTGGGTATTGTGGCTCACTACAGCTGCAGCACATCTTCCACCGTATGACCTCTTCTTGCAATAATTTATTCGCTGACTCCCAATGTATTTTGCGATTATAGAGTTGAACTGCTCCACACTATTGTTGACCTCATCATGAATTAAACTCACTGCATTCGTAATTAAAATGGTCGCATATGACCTTTTATTGTCCATTATCAACCTTGATAAAAAAAGGCACTCAAGAACAATCACACCAACAAGAGTACAGCACAACAATTCAACAACACAATATCGACGAACAGTAACAAGGGGAGAAAAATACTAAATGATGACTTGCTGAGTACCAAAATAGGATTTACAGGCTAGATCGCTAATCGAAATCCGACTCTGTTGTTATAAAAACTTACCTTGGTATGCAACCGCAGTGATCCTTTCCTCTTTTAAAGTAGCGCCGACGACCGTCTAGGGCCAGCCCACCCTAGCTTCCTTTTCACCCCCCCCCCTTACCTCAGCAGATGGTGCTCGTGATTGTAGGAGCCCCGTTAATAAGGTTTTTCTTTATTTTTCAGTGTAACAGCGACTGCAGCTAGTATAGGTGCTGCAGGGATCCCGCAAGCTGGACTTGTGACAATGGTGATGGTGTTAGACACGGTGGGATTGCCTTCGGAAGAGGTCATAAACATCATAGCTGTAGACTGGTTGTTGTAAGTACAGCGACATATCTTTCACAATCGAAAAATGCAGATTGGGGCGTTGCCTGAGAATTTTTGATTTGCTAATAGTAAACTGACTTCCATTTTATTTCAGAGACAGATTTCGAACGACAATAAACGTGATGTGTGACTGTTTAGGAGCCCGGCTAGTCGATATTCTCAGCATTGGTGAACTGGGTGGGGTGACACCCACAGATAGGCTGAACGCGGAGCCGACGGAGTTAGTCGAAATGACTAAGGCAGACAGTCACTTGTAATCCAGAATGCGGTTCGTAAGGAATGCACTTTAGCGCAGTTTGCCCACCTATGCAGCTACTGTGATCAAAACCACACTACATCCAGGATCAGATATACGCAAGACAGAAAAAGTATTGCACTGTGTAGTGACATCGTACACCAACTTGCGTACTTACTGTCTTACTAAATATACACAAAATCCGGCACTCTTCTTACAATTGTAATAGGAAAAAGATACTTTTTCATCATCTTATATTATGACAATGAAGTATGAAAGAAGGTGTCACTAAACTGGTAAGAATGTGATACTAGTAAAGTATCATATCACGATAACATGCATCCAAACAGTTATTTACGCTTAATTTCAAAGGGCATACTTGCGCATTTCTTAATTGATGAAGTCTGTAATGTATATATGTTTCCCTTAAGGTGACGTTGTGATGAAAAGACTCAGTGATGTTTTACGTGAACTTGTCATAGATGAGAGATACGATATTACTCTCAAATTAGGCATTTCTAGACAGCTATCCAGAACTACAGATTCCGAAATGTCTAGTAATGAAAATGTGTTATATTTGTGTATATAACTATATCTATATTTATACATGGAATATCGTATTGCCCCTGTACATACCACAATTTTCCATCCAATGCGTGCAGGGGCTCACATGTAATTCTCACCCTGTATATACTCTATTTTTTCTAGTTTATTTATATGCATTGGTAATTATTTTAGGAAGTATTTATATTTCGGAAACATTTTCCATCAGCTGCTCGAACATTTTTCCAAAATACGTGCAGAATTTTTGTATTATTTTAGGAGTCATATATGTCGGTATAAACTATCATCATCTTACCCATTCTTGTGTTCACTATTTTGCAAAGCTCATGAATTGAGACTTATTTGAAAAAAGGTAAATTGAAGTTGTGCTTTAAAAATAATTTCAAATGATACATTGGAAGCTTTAAAAAATTGAATTGATAAAATTCAACGTATAAACATAAGAATATTTTGCCATATAATTCCTTAATTATACTTGTTTAGGTGGGTAGTTGTAGATGTATGACCTTTTCGACAATAATGATGATTCATGAAATGGATGAAATAGATGTTGCGATATTATATAAATGTTATATGGTATTGATGTGAAATGTATATTGATTACAGAACAGTAGAAACCAATATTCCATCATACAATCCATAAGTTAAAGGTATTCTGATAGATCTGTTTACTTACAAGTATCAAGTACCTTACGCAATGATAAAATATGTTTTCAGTAATAACCTCGACATTCTAATCGAATACTATTTTCATACTGACTTGCACTTGACTTTTCAGGAACCGATAAAATTTAAATAATACCACGATTGTCGAAGAAGATTATGTGGAAAATGATGTTCTGTAAATACAATATGCTATCAGTGAAAATAGTAAATATACCTATCTTGGCGCTCTAATTTTCACTTCACTCGAATCATTCTTTCATACTCTCATTTATTGTTATGCGTTAGGCACGCTATAAGCAGCCATACTTTTATATTACGTATAAATATTGGGACCAAGTTCTGTTATAGATGTAAGATCTTTCTTTGTCTTATTCTCACCCTTTTTTTGTTAATCGATTTTGTACAAATTATAGGTGTTAAGATAGTATTAACAATAACTGCCGATATAGTATCATTAAAATGTAATTCAGTTACCAGTTACGTTGAAAATTACCATATAAATAAAGTTTGTAGAATGTAGGGGTATTATTTGTCTAGAAAACCCAATTTACGAATACGCTTTTTTCATCCTTCATCACCTTAACCCATTAACGCCCAAAAGCACTATTGATATTAAAAACCTGTATTTTTGATTTAAATTGATAAAATAGGTTATTAAAACACAAACTAGGAAAAAATTTGACGTATTTATATTTTAGAAAAAAATATTTAGACCCGTACTCGCATGAGTACACTGGGCACATACAGATTCAGTTGGTATGAAATTCTTCAAAGCATTGTCTTTCAATACATAGAGTAACTAAACACTTTTTACATTGCCATCGGACCCGGGCATGACATATGCGGTATCTTCGTTGGCTGCCAATTTTCTGAGGAAAATGGCCGACATTGTCTTTCACAACACTTCTTGGAATATTGCCGCTATTCCGTGACTTTGCATTTTCATTCGCCGAAAATCGAAGATAATGCCTGGTAACATTCCTTATAAACGTAAGTAAGTCCATTTTCTCGTCTCTTGTAAGTTGATGTAGCTTCCAAGCATTTACCATAGCAACGTTTAGCCTATCAGTAATCAGAACCCAATACCATTTTTTACCTCGGATAGCAATTCTATAATTGTTTACTGCTTGATCGCTTGAGTCCACACCACCCATCCCTTTGTTATAGAATTTGAAAACATTTGGTTGTTCCATGTCCACCTTTTCTTTCTTCTCTTTACACCATCTTTTTACCTTTTGCAGAGGTGTAACGGAATCGTAATTTGTTGCTATGGTGCAGACACTATTATCGTTCCAACGTACAAGTAATAGTTGGCATTCACACAACTATCATACGTAGTTCTCTTCGTTTTTTCCATATCTTTGACAGGCCGCAACGGGCACTTTTCCGTGCGGTTTTGCCTCAGTGTACCAGTGTACCTTGTCTCTCAGGATAGCTAAGAAATTTCTTAGTTCATCTATTGTTAGAGAAAATGCGTGTTTATTTTTTTCACGGGCATACAATGTAGTTTGTTCTGTAATGTGTTGCAAAATACTCTCATCCACCAATCTTTCAAATATATCTTTTGGAGACAGGCCTTTCAGTTCTTCAACAACACGAGCAGTTCTAACAGCAACACCATCAGAGACTGGCTGCCAACGACTATAGTGAAGATCGCTTTTCTGCCAATTTGGAGGGAAGAAGTTTGGGTCTTTTTCAGGTTTTTCTTTTTTGACATTGCGTTTTGTAGATAGCAGTCGGATTCTTTTAGAACTCAACAATTCGTTGTCACTGTCATCCCATTCCGAGTCCGACTTAGTAGCTGATTCATCGTCTGCAGCTTGTACAAATACCTCCAGTGTACCAGGTACGTCTGTAGGTAAATCTGTGATGTCCAAATTGTCGTCATCCATATCCTCCTCATCTATCAGTGTGTCTGGATCTGGTGGAATTATCACGACATCCACGTTATTGCTACATGAAGCATCAAAATCTGCAGCTGCATCCAAATTCCTAACTTTCTTACGGCCATAAAATGCTGAAGCGGATATTGGGGGGCTGCCTTCATCAAAGCCAAGATCCATCGTACTTTGCAAAACAATCTAAAAATGATGTGGGTAAGACTACAGTACTGCCCAGTATACTCAACCGAGTACATTTATGTTTACAGCTGAATGCAAACTCCAAAAAAACATTTGTAAACACACATATTGATTCCCCACCTTTTTTACCTTACATGCAATAAATTAATGTAGAGCACAAAACTAACAAACTTATCACAACTGAGTAAATAACAGATGTGTTATGACAAACACGTCCTAACGCACTAATAATCACAAGCGACCGCTATATTTGAACCGATTTGTAGTGCCCTCTAGCGGCGATTTACCAAAATAGTGTACCTAAGAGTAACTATACAACCCTTATTTACATTTAAAATTAAATGTAAATAAAATATATGAAACACAGGTGGCGCTACTGGGTAAAATATTAGCTCTACTCAACTGAGTACAGTGGGCGTTAATGGGTTAAAGTGTGTCAGCAAATAATAGCTGATTATTTATTTATTTATTTATTTATTTATTGAAATCCACCACCAACAGTGTTAACCAATTACTGGTGGCAAAACAACAATAGAAATAGTAAAAAAACATATAAAAATATAACGAAAACTAAAAACTAAATCATTTCACTGCAAACTCTCTTAATGTTCGAAATACTTGTGTTGAACAAATCAAATGTACTCTGTAGACTATTATAACATGAACACATCGAGTACAAAGGTGAGTGCAACAGTAAGTTAGTTCGTGGGGTAGGTAGGTAAAAAGTGAGTGTATTGCGAGTAACAAATTTTGGAGCATTAAATTTAATCTGTGCTAGAAATGATGGACAATCATAACTGCTATGCACTACTTTATGCAGGAATATTAGCGAGTGAATCTTTCTTCTGTTATCAAGACTGATAAACTTGTGCTTCCGTAACAGGTCTTCCTGTGGGACCCCAATGGGTGGGTACGTACCGTCAATTTTGAATGAAAGAAATTTCAGAAATTTCCGCTGAATCTTCTCCAGAGAGCCACAAGTTGTAACATAGCATGGATTCCATATTAGCCGTCCATATTCTAATTTAGACAGTATGAATGAATTATAAAGCATAATCATGGCATCTTTGTTACTTAATTCCTTTGAGTTACGTATTACAAATCCTAATAATCTGTTAACAGCATTAATAAGGTACTCAATATGAGGATTGAAGCTAAGTGACATGTCGAAAATCACACCCAGGTCCTTGCATTCTTGTACTCTCAGCAGAGAATGATTGCCAATTCTGTAGTCAAATGTAATAATATCTAGCTTTCTGGTGTAAGACATAACACTACATTTACTGTAGTTAATTGGAAGTCGATTTACAGCACACCATTTAACTATTTTGGCTAGGTCTTTTTGTAAGTGAGCACAGTCAGTGCTGCAGTCGACATTGGAAAAAATTTTCAGATCATCAGCATAGATTAAGTGGCTGCTGTCGATGTCACTAACAATATCGTTTATGAACAGTATGAAAAGCAAAGGACCTAAGCAGGAGCCTTGAGGTACCCCTGAGGTTGGAAAGAATTCAATGGATTTGACACCCTCATATTCAACATATTGCTTTCTTCCTGATAGATATGACTTAAGAAAGGATAACAGCTTGGGGGAGAATCCAAAATAGCTCAGCTTCGTTAACAGAATACTGTGATCAAGTTTGTCAAATGCTTTACTAAAATCTGTATAAATTACATCCACCTGGCTATTAGCATCTAATGCAGAGGAGACTGACTGGGTAAAACAGGCTAGGTTAGTTATGGTTGATCTACCCTTCATAAAGCCATGCTGAGAAGTACTTATTTGGGCATGTGTATTGTGGTATAGGAAATTATGAAGCAAAGTTTCTAAGGCCTTGGAAAAGATACATACTAGGGTTATCGGTCTATAATTTTCAACCTGTAGTCTATCACCCTTCTTGAAAATGGGACGCACCTTTGATTCGCCCCAAATTTCAGGAAACGTGTCAGTCTTCAAACATAGGTTGAAGATCTTTGTCAAGGGATGAGCTAAGACGTAGGCACAGTCACGTACTAAAAACGATGGAATTCCATCGGGTCCGGAGGTAAATTTATTTTTCATTTGCTTTAACACTGTAAAAACTTCTTCTTCGGAAAAGCTCTGAAGTATTATGTTAGTATGCAAGTCCGAAATATTGATATCAGTTGCGTTCGAAGGCATAGTATATACAGATTGAAAAAATAGCGCAAAAGCATTAGCAATTTCATTGGGTTTGTCATACTGCTTACCATTATAGTTTACTTGGCTGATTGTGGAATTTTGTCCCCTTTTATTACAGATAAATGACCAGAAATTGTTCGGATCCTGAGATAGTCTACTTTGGATATCTACTAGATATTTTTGATATGCGTTACGCTCATCGCGCTTAATTTTGGTCCTTAAGTCTTTGAACTCAGTGTATGTGATCAAACTTTTATCCTTTTTAAACTTTTTGTGTAGCAAATTTTTTCTTTTAATGTCTCTAATCATTTCACCGTTAAACCAAACTGGAAATTTGAGAGATCTGAGACTTGTCCTAGGGACACACATATTAAAAATTTTACGAAGAATGTTATAAAATGTTTCCAAAGCTACGTTTACATCTGTTAAATTGTCAAGAAACGTCCAATTAACCAAGCTTATTTGTTCATATAGTGCTACAAAATTGGCTTTTCTGAAATTATATGATTCTCTGGCGCATTTGATACTCTTTTTAGAGTGGAAGCTCATGTTGATTATCATGACAAGCGGAGGATGGTGAACATCCTCAGGTAGTAGGTCATCATAAGCCTTAACGACGCTACACTGTTTATTTGATAACACTAAATCTAATAGCCTATTATTTTCATTCCGAACATCATTGAATTGAGAAAGATCGAAGAAACCCATAAATGACTGAATTGTTTTCTGCTTGTGAGAAGATTGGAGGTGATTTTCATTAACAAATTCGGGAACATTAAAGTCACCTAGTATATAAATACTTTTGCCAAAGAGGTAATCAAGCGATTCTAGATGTTCAAAGAATCTTTCATAGCAGGAAGTACTCGTGTCAGGCGGTATGTATATCACAAAGAAATAAGTCACTTCATTTTTATATCTAAGTTTGATTCCAATTATGTCAATACTGGGAATATCGTCTCTGATAAAAGTCATATTTACCTCTGATGCAGCAAGTTGATTACGAATACCAATTAAGACACCACCTCCTCTAGAACACCCCATCGCAGAGAAATTTCTGTCCGCTCTAAATACAACATATTTGTCAGTAAATAATTCAGAACTAAGTACTGCAGACTGCAGCCAAGTTTCAGTACAACAGATGATATCATAGTCAGACATAGCGACATTTACAAAGAATTCTTTACACTTAGAGTTCATACCGCGTACGTTCTGGTAGTAAACAGAGATGCGACGATCAGAAAAGGTAGAAGTAGAAGCTCTTACAAAATTTTGAGTATTTAACTGTTCATAAGGGATTTCATCGGGAAAATCCGAACTAAGAAAAAAATAACCTAGCTTTAAACTCCTCAACTTTTTGTAAGTAACATGGGCACCTAGAATCCCAAGCCGCATGTGACATGTCATAGTTGGTATTTCTATCTAGATTATTTCTAACACAGTTAATACATTTTAAGTTCGTGGCCTTGCAGTTTTTCAGTAAGTGGCTATCGCCACACCGAGGACAGTGAGT